AGACTACAGAGAACGGTTCGGACTGCTGAAAGGATTATTGGTGCCCCCCTGCCTAACCTCCAAGAACTGTATGCATCCAGAGTGAGGAAAATGGCTCAGAAAATCACTCTGGATCCATCACATCCAAGCCTAAAGCAATGAGACAGAAATCCATCTGGTCGGCGTTACAGAGCACCGAATACCAGGACAGCCAGGCACAAGAACACTTTCTTTCCCCAGGCAATCTACCTCATGAACAGTTAATCTTCTCCCATTGTGCAATTAAAGTATGTGCAATAACCTTATACTTATTTATCACCCTAAACCCTAGTACATCCCTACAACTTTATTTTATTCTATTCCTTTTCTATCTATAGCACACCTGTACATACAATTTATTCTTTTTTTTGTGGTTTATATTTATTCATGTGTATTTTATTCACATCTCATTTTTATTATCTGTGTGTTGTTGTTGTCTCCGTGTACTGGAAGCTTGTGACACTATAACAAATTCATTGTATGTGCAAACATACTTGGCAATAAAGCTCTTTCTGATTCTGATTCTGAAAATATTATATTTTTCAATAATTTATAAATGTACTAATGTTTAAAAATCTTGGTAAATTACATTTTATACCCTAGTCTTTGGTTTTGAAACAATTCATCTTCTCATCTTTTCATCAAAGAATTGCATATCCTTATGAAGAAAATAATAGGAAAATTACTTCTGGAACAAAGGTTTCTGAAAAAGTGACTGTTGCACTCTATAGTCAATAATAACTTTTTTTGACTATAGTAAACATGAATATGTCTCAAATTGATGCGAGCTGCTGTTTTCAAGTACCAGATATAGTAAAGTTGTCCGGATCGGCACTATGGTACACAACAGTACTGGTCCCGAGCCCCTGCTGTGCAGCTGTGAGCGACAGGAAGTCATGTTCTGGTGGGTTCTCGTCCTTGACAGTCGAATCACTGGATGCCACACCACACTTAACAGCATCAAATTCAACATCTTTTTGAATAGACTGCATATAAACCAAATGTGTATTACTGTATATAATGCAGCAGTTTAATAGACAAACCTCTCTGGCATATCTTGCATTGTAGCAGGGATGAGAACATCAGTCAAAACCTGTGGAAAATAATTCAGACAGTTTGAGTCAAACATGATGTGATGACTATGAGCTACTGTTCAACAACAACAACAAAAAACTATTAATGGAATTATTCATGTAAATGATACCATATTTTTTGTATATTTTGATTATTTCATTATAGCTTTAAAATGTAATAATATTTCTGTGATTGTTTTTCTTATTTTAAGAATCAAAGTCTAGGTTTGGGACAAGGGTACAACAATAAAGCTGACACATAAATAGCACTTGAAAAGTAGCAAAAGAAATTAAGTCATAGTAGACGTGACAGTAAAGACATATATAATGTTGCATTATAAGGCATTATAATAGACATTATAATGTTGCAAAAGATTTATATTTAAAATAAATGCCATTACTTGAATTTCAGATTCATGAAAGAACCCTGAAAAAAAAATCGATCACAGTTTCCACAAAAACATTAAGCAGCACAACTGTTTGAAACCAACCCAAAACCTTTGACTGATAGTACAAAAATGCACATAGTGACATCCAGATATGGCTCAAAAACACTCACTTTGTAGAGCATAGAGTCACACACACAGAAGATGTCCACGATAACCGGATTCTCTAGCAGTGGCAGGAGATGTTCAGGCATTCCTTGCCAGAAGTGAAGTAGAAAGTTCTGGATCTGGAACAAATGGGATTGATTACTGTGCAGTTTTCTAGAATCTAGATTAGAGATTCTTTAAGAGTTTAAAATTGCACCTCCTCAAAGTTGACATTAATGGCATTGTCCAGAATGCACCAATTTCTCCTTCCGACAAAAGTCTAAATAATGAGCATAGAGGATGCACCGTGGTAGGCAAACACCTTCGCAAACTATGTAATTTTCCTCGAGCCTAATAGAACAGCAAAACACAAGCGTATTATCATACTTTGCTTCCACTTTCTGTACATTATTTATAATTGCAAGCTTAATTAAAAGAAGAAATGATGAGAGAGTACCATTGTAAAGTAAGTTGAGTCTGTTTCTTCTTGTCCTTGATGATCTGACTGATGCTTTTCTTTGGCACAGTTTGTTTGACAGAAAACGTCTTAGAATAATCCAGGTGGCCCAGGTCCTCTTCAGAGGAAATGCTTCCATTACTTTCATCAGCTTCTGCCAAATGAATAACATACATAGTTTTCAAACCGTGACGTGTGCCAAAACTATTCATAACGTATAATTGCTAAACAAACTGGCAACAGATAGAGAATTTCGAACTGAAAGCATAGCAGTAGTTCAATCAAAGCCAGTTTGAAAACAGATTACAACAAAGATGATTTCCCCACCTGATTTAATGCCAGAATCCTCCTCCTCATCAAGCCTGGCTTTGAAAAACATGTTTTTCCCGAGATTGTCTTGGTCAACAAGAATTGTAGCGTGGAGGTCACCTGCGTTTTTGCAAGCTTTCTTTGTCTGCGACGCTTGTAGTTGATTAAACGTGTCATTCTTCAATGGGCTCCCAATATTTCTTTTCATTGGCATGTTCAAGGAGAAATTAAAAAGAAAAACTGGAATGCAAAATTAAAACCACCAAGTCAAATAATAAAAAAAAAGTGCTAAATTGTTAAAACATTCCAAAATCAACAGCCTATTCTAACGTTTGGCAATGTGATGCATATATCCATTCCTGAAATGATACACATCTCCGAAGCATCCCAATGAATCTCCAAAAAACATTTAAACAATTTGTCAACTATGTGTGTTGCTTCTCCTCCTTCCTCAGAAACAAATGCTCACAAAATAAACCTGTAGCATGATGGAAACTCTAATAAGAACCGTTCAAATATTAATCCTGGAAAAGTTCATTAATCCAAGAATGGGCAAGATAACACCTTCCAGTCTTAATTAAAGCTCTGCTCTCTCTGAAATGGTGCGTCACAGAGGTGAGTGCCTTAAGGCCATTTATCTTATTTACAGAAGACAGGCAATGGATTCTGAGATTTAATGATTAACCAAGAGGGATATCATCTCCTTGAAATCTGGTGTTGGTCATGCAGCTCGGCTATAGGACCAATCAGAGCAAGTCAGCCTCCTCAATGCTACTTTGCCTTTCATTTACATGCATTCATACACTATATTCAGAACATTTTGTTGTTACTGGTTTTATCTGGGACAGTGAGGAGTAGATTCCTAGTTTCAAAAAGCCATGTCAAATAAGTAGAACATTGTGAAATAGCCATATAAACACAAATATTGGACAATAAAAGAATATTAGGTTTTAGGTGTGGAGTTGTTGTGGAACAGTTTGACTATACTGTTACCGCCATCATTGAATCCATCCTCTGCACTTCTATAACTGTCTGGTTCAGCTCAGCTACCAAATCTGACCTCAGAAGACTTCAGAGGGTAGTCCGGACTGCTGAGCGAATCATTCGTACAACCCTCCCTTCTCTCCAAGAACTGTACTCATCCAGAGTGAGCAAAAGGGCTGGCAGAATCACTCTGGACCCCTCACATCCAGCACACTCCCTCTTTGAACTGTTGCCATCTGGTCGACGCTACAGAGCACTGAGCACCAGAACGACCAGACACAGGAACAGTTTCTTCCCTCAGGCCATCCATCTCATGAACACTTGACAATAACTGTGGAACACACACTATTTATTCACTCATACACTTATTTATCTAACACTCATACTCAGTCTACATTTCAATTTGCACATAATATACCTGTACATACAACTGTCTATTGTTATATACCTGTACATACAATTGTCTTGTTGTATATATTTTTATTCCTTATTTTACTTGTTCTATTTTGTATTTATTTTTATTTTTTATTATCTGTGTTTTTTTGTTCTGTCACTGTCATTCTGTTGCACTGTGGAAGCTTCTGTCACGAAAACAAATTCCTCGTATGTGTAAACATACCTGGCAATAAAGCTCATTCTGATTCTGAGGATATAAACCCCCCACAACACGCTGATATTTTGTGAAAACATGCCTCATTATTGCAGTAATTAAACAGTATATCATATAAGAGTATTATAAAATATTTTATATGCAGTGTTGGGGGTAATATATTACAAGTAACGCAAGTTACGTAATCAGATTACTTTTTTCAAGTAACTAGTAAAGTAACGCATTACTTTTTAATTTACAAGAGAATATCTGAGTTACTTTTTCAAATAAGCATCGCAATTTATTGACTGACAGCTCTCCTGTCCCCATGTTGAGAGAAGCATGCAGCTGAATTGAGCATTACCATAACTTTCCAGCATATTCCATATAATATTCCAGCACAGTTAGGGGTGTGCGATATTGACAAAAAATGATATCTCGATATTTACGATAATTAGACGATATTTTGCTGAGTGTGTTATTGTGCTGGTACCTTAAGGACTGCCGAAGACAGCTGAGACTCCTAATGTTTTCTTGTGAGGGGGGAAGCAGCTTTCACACAGGAGTCCGCTCCTGATCCGTGGCGGTTTACTACACAAACAACATTTATCCATTATTTTGTTTTCAAATCCAAACATTGTCACTGAAAATGCTTTTTCAGCATTGCAATTCTTTACACAGTACAGTAATACAATCTTCACAGACATGTTTAAACACAATAAATATAAGCAACACATTATTCAATGCTTTTTTACTTTTGCATTTACTTATATATTAAATTGCTCAAGCAAGTGGCAAAACATTTAAACTACTTTTCTTAAGTTGTCACAAACTTACCATTGACAGAAATAGTCAGCTCTACTGTCTTTTCTTTTGCATTTAAATCTTTATTACAAGCAATCCTGCGGTTCATAAAGAACTTTGTTTTCCTACCTCCATGTGTGCCATCTATTATTGCCTTGTTTATCTAAAAGTGCTCTTTCCCTTTAAACCTAGCCAAAAAGCCATATGTGTTGACTGTGAAACACAGAAGACTTTAATAATATGCATTTATGGTGTAATTACTACATTTTCATGTCGATCCATGTTCATATTTACTGCAAAAAATGTGCTGTTACTTTAATTCAGTGCTTGCAGCGCAGCAAAAATAGACTCGGTGTGGAAACATTCTCTGCACTGCTGCAGACGCACCGCTTGTGGAACGCACTGCCGGACCACAACCGTGTGCAGTGTGCACACTTTATTAATCTGTTAACATGAGCGCGGAAAAAATATGCACCATATTCACACTGCAAACGAAGTATGTGTGAACCTAGCATTATGTGTGTGCGCTGCAAGTGTGCATGAGCGCACGGTCTCCAGGAGAGCGCGCGAGCACTGAATGGTTAAACACTGGCAAGAATTAAAAAGTAATGCAATTTATAAACTTTAGTGACGATGTGACACTGCCTCGATTGAGCAAGTGACAATTCCTGTCAACTGTGCAGCGTGCAGCTCGCTTATAGACAGATGCGATGTGGTGATTTGAAGCCATTTGCATAGGCTATTTTGAGAAAGAGTGCGCGTGGTGATTCACTCACGCTGTTTGTGAAATTACATCTCACACAAGGTTTTCAAATTACTTTAAGTTATTTAATTAAGAAATATGAAGGTGAGTACCTCAACTTCAGCACTATAATTATTTCAACCGCGCGGGACAGAGACTGAGACGGTGCCGCTGCATGTCGTGCCAAACCTCTCACGGCAGCATCATCAGCTTGAGATCGTTTTTTTGAGATCAGCCTTTTTAGAGACCGCCGATCAATCATCCCAAAGCGATTATCGGCCGATAGTGATCGGTAGCCGATCAATCGGAGCACTCCTAGTATTTAATATAGGAATTGTTGAACAGGCATCTTAATTTGTTAGCATGTGATACGTGTTGGATGTTGGCATGGAATTTACATTTTAATGTTTTGCTGTGGTTCACTGTGCTTGCCGTAAAGCCAGTCTCCCAGTATAATTATTTTCCCATTTGCATAAGTAATGTAAGGGGCTCAAGTTTTAAGAATTTTACATAATAAAATTATAAAAAATGTTAAGTAATGCTGTTTTATATATTCTTAGTTTGAGCTTACTCGCAACAATAGTTGTTTAACACATTTGATTAAAGAACACACTGAAATAAGGCTGAAACGATTAATCGAATACCTCGAGTAACTCGAATACAAAAAATCATCGAGGTAAATTTGCCTCGAGGCTTCGTTTAGTCCATTTACTGTAACTACTACACGAAACACCGTGTTTCCCCACGGACCATTATTACTGACGCACAACCCGATAAATGCTAGACCAGAACGTAGACTGTATAAAAACAGGGACCAGACTTTAAAAAAAAAAGCGCTGGACATATTTAAGACCGTAAATCAATATAGTGGCTAGTTATAATGTCCCTACGTTAGCTATGTTTTGTGAAAGACTAAACGCCATTGTGCATAAAATACCACAGAAAGAAAGTTAGTCTATCACACAAAGAGTGCCAGTTTTCACCTCTAAAATCAGCATGATTACAAATGTGATTTTATTCAAGAGTTCAATAAACAAGAAGCTAATATTATGAGACTTGCATTTTAGACACTATATTGCCTATTTTTTGCTTTATTTTGCCAACAAAAAAATTCCAAACACAGCCACAGTGCAGGCTTGCGTCTCTGTGCAACATGAAGGCGTTTCATTCCTGAATGAATCAACCGTTTAAATGATTCGGTTCAATCGCAATGACTCATTGACTTGCTGCCACCTGCTGGCGGTTTTTTCATTTTTAAAATAATTGTAAATATCAGTATTCAGTGTTTTATGTTTAAAATAACAAAACATTATTTATGCATTTGTAACTGCTAATATTATGAGACTTGCATTTTAGACACTATATTGCCTATATTTTGCTTTATTTTGCCAACAAAAAAATTCCAAACACAGCCACAGTGCAGTTTTGCGTCTCTGTGCAACATGAAGGCGTTTCATTCCTGAATGAATCAACCGTTTAAATGATTCGGTTCAATCGCAATGACTCATTGACTTGCTGCCACCTGCTGGCGGTTTTTTCATTTTTAAAATAATTGTAAATATCAGTATTCAGTGTTTTATGTTTAAAATAACAAAACATTATTTATGCATTTGTAACTGCAGGTTAAATGCATTCATGTCCCTCTGTGTGGGAAATTCATCCCATGCAGCTTCTGTGTTTCCTCTGCATTGCAAAGATGCATTTTGATACTGATATCATTTGTTTGGTAACAGCCCAAATGTCTTTTATTCTAATTGACTGATTAAATGTAAGAATTTGACTCAAAAGATGATGCACACTTTTAGAAAAAAAAAGGCTTTATAAAGGTAAAAATGCCCATAAAATGTAAAAATCAATTTAAACTTATTGGAACAGATACATTTCTATCACTGCTGTGGACTGACCCACACACAGATTATGAAGGATATCAAAAACAAGTTTTACACACACACACACACACACACCAGTATGTAAAGGGACATTTAAGAGGGTTTATTCTCCAAATATCTCTTAATTTCATGTTGCAGAAATATGTGTTTAAAAATTGTGTATGGTCTCTTGTTCTTGTTCCAAGTTACCTTCCTGTCCACTGATTTTTGCCTCTCACAAAAGCCACAAAGCCTTCCAAGAAAACCGTAAAGGCTTATGTCATGCTTGAGCTTTAGTTAGGCTGAAACTTGAAAGTTAAGTTGCACGACATAAATGCAATGTTTCGGTATTATTATTTTTTTTATTACTATTATTTTTATTTATGCCTTAGTTTTAGTTTGTACTGTTTACCTTTTTTAAAGTAATGTGAAATTGATTTTTGTATTTTTATTTATTTATTTTATTTTTTATTGATATGTTTGTATTTGCATTTTGAATGTAATTTGGCAATTAAATACATTAAATGGTTTTAGTTTTCACAGTTATTAATGTATGCAATTTCAGCAATACAAATTAAAAATTTTCTAAAAAGAAAACAAATTAGTTGTTTATTTTAAGAGATCTATCTTATTATCTCTTGTATATTTAGTATTGCTCTTTAATAAAGAAAAATTACTTCTTAACCGATTACTCGATTAATTGATGGAATAATCTGTAGAATACTCGATTACTAAAATAATCTATCGCTACAGCCCTACACTGAGAGAAGATTCTTAAAAATATTTCATTTAATTTATTTTTGTTCTATCATGTGCATTTGTTTTTAAATATTCTCTCTTTTTCTTTCTTTTTAATATTTTAAAATATACTGCAAATGGGTTCATTTGATTTGTGTATATTCACTTCCCCTATTTTGCATTGTGACAGTAATGCTTCATGCATTATTTTTTTCTGGCAAAACTTCATTTTTATTTATTTATTTCTCATACTTACTTTTATTGCCCTTGCCACATATCCAAATGCCCATCCCGGGATGCAATTTTGTGAAAACATGAGCCAGCTGTCATTTACCTGGTCACAGATTTAAAGTGCATGTTTCATACTTTTCAGAACGTTGATAACAAAATTTTTTTGTATTTTAGGGCAAAAGCGGAGTCAAAGCTCCCGGCTCCATGTGTTTTGTGGCCTGTAGAGCTGAAGCTGACTCACATTGACTGCAGTCCTGAGGACACACTGGTACACTTTCAAGGCCAATATATGACCATCTGTGAACTGGACTACAACATTCTTCAAGTTGAAATTCAAAATGCTGTGAAATTGAAAGTTTCTGTTGAAGTTGGAGAACTTTGTCTGGTAGAAGATGCAGTATCTGGTCGCTGGTTCAGAGGAAGAGTCCAAAACATCCAGAAGGATTTGTTCCACGTGTTTTTGCTGGACCATGGAGATGTGTTGATTGTTGGGCCCAGCCATTTGTTCTGTATATCTGACACACTGCTTATGCTCCCACCAAAGATTGTCTGCGGTTTCTTTGCCAACATACTGCCAGTCCAGAACCGATGGGACAGTTTGACAGAGAGTTATTTCTCTTCCTTTATAGGCTGTCAGATTAAAGGATATATCCATGCTCGTCTGCCGTACCAAGTCCTCTTACTTGAAGTTCCAGACATTAGTTGTGACTTGTTAAAACTGAGACTTGGGAGACATGTGGACACTAGTACATTTCTGCTACTAGTTGAGATGCTTATTGAGGAACCAATTCCACAAAGCAATGAATCTGTCCCAGATCTCTTGATTGAAAACCAAGTAGGGCAAGAATGTTGCCTCAAATCCTCAAGCCTGCTGGGCTTCGAAGAGATTCTGTCACTCAATGGCCCAAAGCTGAAAGTTGGTCAAAAAGTTAGAGTCATTGTAGCTGCAGCCGTGAACCCTAGATTATTCTACTGTCGACTGTCGTCCATGAGCAAGGACCTACAAGAAATGTCAAACAAATTGGCACTCGCATGTGAATCAGGCTGTGGTTCCCTAAGCAGTAAACCTCTTGAAAATCTCGGCTTGCTCTGTGCAGTCAAAGGGAAAGATGAAAAATGGCACAGAGGATTTGTGCAATGTCTCCCTCTCAACTCTCAGGTCCGAGTTGTGTTCGTCGACAGTGGCTATTGTGAATCGGTGAAAGTTGAAAACATCCTTCAGCTACCATCAGAATTCCTCTCAACACCGATCATGGCATTCCCATGTTCACTTTCATGCTTGGAAGAACAAGAAGAGAACATTAAAAACCAACAACTAGAGCTTCTCAAGACTGGGTTGCTGGGAAAGGCGTTGGAGGTTGAAATCGATGACTTTCACAAAGATCAGAACTTCTACTTGGTCACATTGAGCACTGCTGAGAAGCACTCAGAGGAACAAGCTGAAGTTAAACCGCTTGAAAGTGAAGTGTTTGACAGCAAGTCCAACTTTCTCCAAAATGTCCTTGAAAAGATGTATGCAACAGAGATGAAAGCGGTCCAGACTTCTGATACAGTTCCTACTAGTCAATCAATACCTGACGGTTCTCTTTTTGAGGGTTATGTGGTGCATGTCCAGAGTCCAAAACATTTCTGGATAAGAACAAAAGAACAAAATCCTGATTTTGAAAGCATAACTGAAGAAATCAAAGATTACTTCAACAAACTACAGTTGAATGAGGAGGTTTTTGAAGACCCAGTGCCTGGTGCACTTTGCTGTGCAATGTTTGAAAAAGACATGCGTTACTATAGGGCCCTCATAGTAGATACTTTGGAAAAAGGAGCTGAGGTGTTTTTCATTGACTTTGGGAACACTGAAAAGGTGCCAAGCATGTTACTTAAGAAGCTTCCCAGAAAGTTTGCCATTCAACCAGAATTTGCACTGAAATGTGCTTTAGCACATGTCGCTCCCATTGAGGACATCTGGACAACCACAGCATCCAACTTCTTTAGGCAAGTCACATCAGACAAAACTTTGATGGTTCATGTCATTCACAGGAAAAATGGCAAATATGTTGTTGATCTTTTTGAGAGAGGAGCTGAAAGTAATACTAGCATTGCAACCATCATGACAACAGCAAAAATGGCCATGGATTGGAGCTACAACCCAGCATTGGTATCTGTTAAAATGGAGCCATCGTGTAAAGATAAGGGAAATGGTCTGAGCAAGAAAAAAAATAGAAAGGACTATCATGTGGTGACCTTTTGCAAAGTCACATCTTCTAGACCCAACCCATATCATGTGAAACCAGAGTGTGAACAACAGAATGATGCTGAAAGATGTACTGCCAGTGAGACAACTAAACCGAAGGTCGTTCCTGCTGACACTTTCAAACCGATACATTTCAAACCTGGATCTGAATTAAGTATCATTTGCTCACACATAAATTCTCCATCTGATTTTTGGTGCCAAAACGAAAGCACAAAAGTTGATCTGGACAAATTGATGGAAGAGATGCAGGCGTTTTACCAAACGCACACAATTGCGTTCAAGTCGCCTGCGGTATGCTGTGCTGTAAAGTCTCCACAGGACAACCGATGGCATAGAGCATGCATGTTAAAAGAAAAAAACAACGAACTGTATTTGATGTTGGTTGACTTTGGCATAATTATCCAGGAAAAGATGCAAAATATCCAAGCTCTTGCGCCACAGTTCTTTGAACTTCATGAACAAGCATTTCGATGCACTTTGAACTTGACTGAACCTGTTGGAGGAAGTTCTTGGAGTGCAGAAGCATCCAATTTGTTCAGGGATTTTGTGTCTGAGGGTTCACCCAGTATATGCAGAATTCATTCCCACCTTTATGAGCAAGGAAAAGGTCTCCTCTATGTGGTCACCATTCATACGCCTCTTCAACAGGCCACCACGTACCTTGTAGAGAAAGGCTTTGCAAAGGAAATGCAAACTCCAAAGCAGCTAATCTCATCAGCCCACCCTCGCTCCTTCGTTTACTCTTCTTTCAACATAAGTTCTGGAAGCGAAGAACTGGTGCATGTTACTCAAGTTTGCAGTCCTTGGGAAATCTATTTCCAGCTTGAAAGGAATACAGAGATCGTTGATACGCTGATGGAGAGAGTTGCCGAAGAAAGTCACCTCTTGACTGCGACATCTAGGCACTGCAGTAGTAATGTTAGCCTGGCCAAATATATCTGTGACGGCAAATGGTACAGGGCTCTGACGCATCCTGTTCAATCCCATCAGCATCTGAGTGTGTTCTTTGTCGATTATGGTGATATGCAAATTTCTGAGAAAACAAATGTTATGACGATTCCCACAACGGCAGTTGACTTATTGATGACACCAATGCAAGCTCTGAGATGCAGTCTTTCGAATGTTCCAGAGGGGGAACATTTGCCAGAAGTCAACACATGGCTCGAGACTGAGATCCTCAACAAATCCTTCCGTGCCAAGTTTGTTTCAAGGGACAAAAATGGACATTTTGTTTGTGATCTTTATGACGGAAATGTGCATGTCAATGAAAAAGTCAAAGAACTCGTGTCAACTCAGGGTGTGGAAGAACATGATCCGGCTGTCAGCATACCTGCCTTAGATTCCCACAAAGAAGAAGTGGATGTTGACGTTTCAAACAGTAAAGTGAGCTCCAAAGCAAGGGGACGTGGTAAAACCAAACAGGTTGATAAGCAAACTCCAAAACCCACAAAATCTCCCAAAGCAGAGCGCAAAGGACCAATGAAAGCAGAAAGGCAGAACACGCCCTGCTCTCTTAAAGTGGCGCCTCCTCATCAGAGCTTGCCAAAACTTTGTGATCTTCCTTCTGTCAAAATGGAACCAGGTTTTAAAGGCGTGGGCTTCATCTCTCATTGCAATTCTGTTAGAAGCTTCTTTGTCCAGATGGACGACGATGAACCAAACATCCTTCAGATGGGTGAGGAACTAAACAGCACCGTCTTCAAGGATAACATGAAAAATGTGGAAACTGAAGTACAAGTAGGGGACCTCGTTGTGGCGGAGTATGAAGAAGACTTGGCTTTGTACAGAGCTGTTGTCACCAGCTCATCAAACTGTGGCCACTTAGCAGTTGAGTTTATTGATTACGGCAATGCTGCAACTGTCGACAGGAAGAACGTTCACATGCTAACCAATCTGTTTTTGTCTCAGCCCAGATTGAGCACTCCATGCACACTTGCAAAACCTTACTCTTTTGAAAACAATGACTCTTTTATCAAGGAAGCAGTTGGTAAGCCTTTAATGGTGGAATTCATTCGAAAGCTCGAAAATTCATGGGAAGTGAGGATCGAGATTGTTGAGGATGGCCATGTGCATGGGGAATCAAAGTATGATGGTGATCAAAGCAAAGATGTAGATTTGACAAGTCAAGACAAATTTCCAAAAGCATTCAAGAACAACAACCAAACAGATTCTTACATCCACAAGGCTAAAGCAGTAAAAATCTTCCAGAAAAAGACCAAGCCAAGCACACAACAACGCAAATATGAACTTGGAAACAATCAGACAGTTGCAACAAAACAAATAAAGAAAGCAGTCACTTTCTTACCGACAAGAAAAAGAACAAGAAAGAGAAAGGTTAACTTCCAACCCCCATGTGCGACAAGAATTTCAGTGACTAAAAATTCAAGTATGTTGCTAAAAAATGTTTCTCCTCGTAATGCCTCTAAGTCACCTGTTAACGTTGCTCTGCAAGATGTGAAAGACAACGAGTCAGTGAAAAGTCCTGATAAGTCGCTTGACCATCCTCACTTCCAAGACATGTCTTCAAAGAGCAGCTTGGATCGACCACAGACTCTACTCCAGGCCCCTGTCCAAATGAACTTTGAATATAAAGGATTTGCGGCAGCCGTCACAACCCCATCCGAATTTTACGTCATTCTTGAAGACCTGCTTTTGATTGTAGATACAGTCTCTGCCATTCTTGAGAACCTTCCCGAAGTGTTGGCGCCATTACCAGAGGTTCATTTTGTTCGTGGTGCGAGCTGTTTGATGAAATCGGCAGAGAAGAAAAAATGGTGCAGGGCAGGGATCGTGCAGTGCGATTTCACATCGGTGCTCATGAACTTGGTTGACTATGGCCAGTATGTCGTTCTGTCTCGACAGGATGTCGGCCAGCTAAAAAAACTTCCAGAGGAGCTCAGTAGATTACCTAAATTCACCTACCATTGTTTACTGAGGGGAGTTAAGCCCAAAGGCCAGGACTGGTCTGATGATGCCATTGTTTTCTTCCAGAACTGCATGTGTCACAGCAACCTTCAGATACGTTTCAGACAGCATGTTTCTGAGACACAATGGGAGGTCGACATTGTCACTGGAAAACGAAATCTCGCAAAAGAGTTAGTAGATGCTGATCACGCCATGTATATCGATAATGTGCTTGGAATCAGGTTTCAGCAAGAGCAAGGACCAAACAGGGAATCTGAACAAGACATCTCCAGCAGCGTGGATATTTTATCCACGACAACGGAGCACACAAGCAAAGCCGAATGTTCTCAGCCACTCTTTTCAAAGGCTCAAAAGTCATCTCAAGATTCTGTTGGGGAGCAAAACACATACCCTATGAACATCAGTGAAGATCTCGGACCTGTAGAGAGGGCAACGCTTAGTACATCAGGTATCAAACAATGTGAGTGAGAATAGTGATAAACCTACTATGATCTATTGTATTAATTTAACTTTCTTTTCTGTCTTTATGGTCTACAGTACATAGCCTGCCAGTCAAATGTTTGGACACACCTACTCAATTCTTAATTAGGGGTTAAATACTGAATAATTTTTAGATGATTACAGTGTTTTCAACAGCTTCTTATGTTTTGAAATAGTTTAACAGGATCATAGAACACAAATAATAAAGAAAACTATATCTGCAAAAAAAAAAAAAAAAAATCGTAAGTTCTAATTTTGTAATAAATTATTTTAAATCAATTAAGTTAATATGTAAAAAAAATTTTTTTACTGCATATTATTGTCATTTTGTAATATATAAGGCAGATACGTTACATTTATTTGGCGTTAAATTGACACAGGCCATCCTGCTCTCCAAGATATCGATGCTGAAAAAATAAATTAAAAATAAAACATACACAATATCAGTCAACTTCTGCTTATAGCTTATGAACTCTTTGGTCTAGAAACACAGTTAGTTTACCTCTGTTTTCTTTTATAATCTCAGATACTGTAGACTGAGTTGTAGAGCCACTGTTGTAAAACATTTTTAATTGAAAAGTTAGCTCGCACGACCAGTTAAAGTTAGCTTTTCAGACCAATCAAAATCGTAAGTTCTAATTTTGTAATAAATTATTTTAAATCAATTAAGTAAATATGTAAAAAAAAAATGTTTACTGCATATTATTGTCATTTTGTAATATATAAGGCAGATACGTTACATTTATTTGGCGTTAAATTGACACAGGCCATCCTGCTCTCCAAGATATCGATGCTGAAAAAATTAATTAAAAATAAAACATACACAATATCAGTCAACTTCTGCTTATAGCTTATGAACTCTTTGGTCTAGAAACACAGTTAGTTTACCTCTGTTTTCTTTTATAATCTCAGATACTGTAGACTGAGTTGTAGAGCCACTGTTGTAAAACATTTTTAATTGAAAAGTTAGCTCGCACGACCAGTTAAAGTTAGCTTTTCAGACCAATCATCATTATTTATTTTAACAGTTACCAAATCACAGTGTATTGATTCTCACTAAGTAGTTGAGTCAGTCAAGTTGACTGTGTTGACTACTAAAAACAATTAGGTTGTATTTTTGTAGTGCTTTGTCATATTAAAACGGCATAGTAGGGTGTCAATACTACAGTAGTTTCATCTGAGCAGTATTTAAAGTTTGGTGATAGTGCCACCTACTGGTCTTAAGTCATATTAAAAAATATCTTGGGTCATATGGATTAAAATGATTCAAGAAATAATTTTTTAATTTCTTCTCTAAACATAAAATCAAGTGTGTCCACTTGACTTTTGACTGGTAGTGTTTAATGAAGGCCTTGATTCATACTATTAATCATCAGTTTCTTTCTAAAACCTTTAAGTGGTCTAATCTATGCATGAATAATTTCTGAATTTCACTGTTCAGCTAGTCACCCCCTGAATAATTCATATAGACGATCTTTACAGTATTCAGGTATTTAAAAAATAGTCTCATAATATTCATCAGTGTTTGATGTAACCAGGAATTGTAGACTACCTTTGAACTCATTTAAAACTTTACATGTTTCTGTTACATTTTATTACTTTTATATTTTAAGTAAATAACTTGTGGCTTATGTTTTTTTTGTCTTAGGTGAGCTGATGTGAGATGGCCTATGCTTCGTAAGTATGAAAATTTAGATTCATTTCCTGTATACTGATTATGTAGGTAAACGTAATTTTTTCAATTGGTTTATTTCAGAACAGAGATGCTAGCGAGTTACGCTCGACATTGCACTTAAAGAACAGTCCAGCTTTGGAATGGCTGGATTTAATTGTTTTAAATTTTTTGTTTCAGTAGTGATGTTCTAGAAGTGTGTTTTGTAGAAATGGAGCATTTTGTTTTATGGAGTACAATTTGAATTGTTCAATCATAATAGTCGCCGCAGTAAGATCTTAAAATCGTAAGATTTTAAACATGACGCTATATCATATTTTTGATGAAAAAATGTAGTTTTAGAACTAAAAACTGGATTTCCAGCTTTTGGCAGGTCTTATGTATCTATAAATGGACGTGTGACTGATGAAATATACAGTCGGTTTATTGATGGCTGTGTTGGCTATTTTGCCTTTAAGTTTCGAACAGCAAAAGTTTATTTAGTAATTATAAGAATTGACGTTTGACCTCTGTTTGATTGTGCTGTGTAACACATTGTTGTTTTTTGTTTGTGAAAATGTTAGTATTTCTAGTTCTGTTGGAACACACAATAAAAAGATCATCTACAGATGTTGTGAAGTAGCTGTGGAAAAAGGTTGTTGTCAGAAGTGGGATTCGAACCCACGCCTCCAGAGGAGACTGCGACCTGAACGCAGCGCCTTAGACCGCTCGGCCATCCTGACTGTAATTACATAGTTATTACACACTGTTATAGCTATTACAGTTATTACAAACATACATTTACTGGTGATTTTAACTACATCTACACATCATTGGCTTCATTAACGTTATATTGTCCTATGTGGAATACAGCATTCTTAGCTAAACAGGACATACTCAAGCATTTTTTGTAAGGATGACTCACTGGCAGTTATTGGATGGCACATATCACTAGGTTTTAAATGTTTCAGATGCTACAAAAAAAATGGTCCACGAGGGTGCGCATGGCGTCTCAATCATACTCTGAGCAACACGCTAATCTGGGGCCAGTTGCTTAAATGAACCCTTTCTATATAGTCTGACCAACTACCAATTAGCCAAGGGGTATATCAGTCTTATTTTTCCGATCCAACTTATAATAAATTGTTGTTATCTAACTGAAATAAGTTATAACCTGTCTTGGAACAAAAAGAAGAAAAAATGTGTGTGTGTGTGTATATATATATATATATATATATACAGTGGGTACGGAAAGTATTCAGACCCCCTTAAATTTTTCACTCTTTGTTATATTGCAGCCATTTGCTAAAATCATTTAAGTACATGTATATATATATATATATATACACACACACACTACCGGTCAAAAGTTTGGGATCAGTAAGACTTGTAATGTTTCTTAAAGAACTCTCTTCTGTTCATCAAGACTGCATTTATTTGGTCAAAAATACAGAAAAAAAACAGCGATCTTGCAAAATGTTATTACAATATAAAATAATGGTTTCTATTTTTATATCCTTTAAAATATAATTTATTTCTGTGATGCAAAGCTGAATTTCCATCAGCTATTACTCCAGTATAAAGCGTCACATGATCCTTCAGAAATCATTCTAATATGCTGATTTATTATTAGAATTATCAATGTTGGCAACAGTTGTGCTGCCAAATATTTTTTTGGAAGCCGCGATGCTTTTTTCAGGATTCTTTAATGAGTAAAAATATAAAAAGAACAGCATTTATTCAAAATAGAAATCTTTTCTAACAATAAAAATCTTTGCTATCACTACTTATCAATTTAACACATCCTTGCTGAATAAAAGTTTTAATTTCTTTAAAAAAAAAGAAAGAATAAAAATGTACTGACCCCAAACTTTTGAACTGTAGTGTATATTGTTAGAAAATAAAAGGTTCCAAAAAAATATTAAGCAGCAACAGTTTCCAGCACTGATAATAAATCAGCATATTAGAATAATTTCTGAAGGATCATGTGACACTGAAGACTGGAGTAATGATGCTGAAAATTCAGCTCTGCATCACAGGAATAAATTATATTTTAATGTATATTAAAATATAAAAACGTTATTTTACATCATAATAATATTTCACAATATTGTTTTTTCCTGTAGTTTTGATCAAATAAATGCATCCTTGATGAGCATAAGAAACTCCTGTAAAAACATAAAAAATAGTTCTGATCCCAAACTTTTGACCGGTAGTGTGTGTGTGTGTGTGTTGGTCGTGGTCAGGGGTTTATTTTTCGATAATGATCCTCTGACTGTAAATAACATCTTATGTAAGGACAGGGAAAATATTCAATAATTAAATTAAAACTACGGCGGAGCGTTAAAAGTATGCTAAGCCACGCCCCCTTTCCATGTTGCAGTCATTCTACTTATTCGAGTGGAGCGCACCACGTGATGTATACTACGTGTCAGGTCGTCATGTGACAGTGGTTCCTGCTACACGGTGATGATCAGTAATCGGAAAGGACTGCTGCATCATGTCGGACTGCGCGCTCTAATTTGTTTCCTATTATAAAAATATGGGTCGTGTGCGGGTTTGCGGAATCGCTGCTACTGTTGTTTCTACTTTCATACTGCTTCAGTGTGTGTCATCAGCAGTGGGGTCGGATGACAGCCCATGGTACCAGGATCTGTGCAGGTGAGATCTTTAATACATAAACAAACCTAATGCTAATCATTGCTGGCAAATCCTTATGGATATCATATTAGCAGTTGTCAAGAAAGAACTGTGTCTGTTTAAATATGGTCTAGTTTGCTTTATATATTTGAATGATAGTTGTGGCCCTTTAGCCTGGTTGCATGTAGGGACCTGGACCTAATAAAATCATAACAGATACATCGTCTCACCTGAGACAAAGCAATGCATTCGTTTAGGCACTGAGCTGGCTTTACTATTAGATTATGTCATATAACTGCAACAAATTCTGATCATGCAAATGCATTCAATAGAAATTGTGTGTCTCTGTTTTTGTGTGTGTGAAGTTACAAATGGGAGGCCATTGACCAAGACAGCAATGTGAGCTACACTTTGAAGCTCTGTGATTCTTCTCCGGACACAGAATGTGGAAAAGAAAGCGCGGTCTGTGCCCACAACCTTAAGAGTGACCAGCACCAGTCAGTGGGTAAGTGCAATGCATCGATGTGCCAATGCACACCCAAAGTGCAACAGCAATGTTCATAAAGCAGAAGCATATAAACATGTACACTGCTGCTTTTTTATAATATAACATACATTTTACATTTAATAATGTTCATTTAGTCAATTTCCAATGTTTTTCTATTTTCTAAATTGTCAGCTTTCTGTCATGGGATAGTGATTATTGATTATAAAATGGATTGGTTGTATGATTATTTGATTGATTGTGATAGACATTGACAGTATCTGTGAGAGTAGCACTGGTTTCACCATCCAAGGCCTGGATAAGAAAACAATTCTCTTACAATTCTCAGATTATGGCATTATTGTTGTACGGTCTCTTTGCCAATTTTATTTAAGAAAAACATTATTTATATTAGCCTAGTGTTTATCTGTAATCACTTTGCATTATGAAATAATGAGACAGTGTGGGTCTTAATGGTCCTAAAGAAGATTTTCTTTTCTTTATGCAATACATAATTTCTCATACACTACCATTCAAAAGATCATCTGGAAGATTTTTAGATATTTTGCTCACTAAGGCTGCAAAAATACAGTAAAAAGATCATATTTTAAAATGATTTTGCCATTTAAAATAACTGTTTTATTTTATTTTAAAATGTAATTTATTCCTGTGATGCAAAGCATCTTTACTCCAGTCTTCAGTGTCACGTGATCCTTCAGAAATCATCTGAATATGCTGATTTGGATGCTTAGGAAACTTTTCTTGTTGTGGTCAATGCTGAAAACATTTGTGCTGTTTAATATTTTTACTGAAACAGTGATGCATTGTTTTCAGGATTCTATGATGAACAGACCGTTTAAATAAACTGAGTTTATTTGCAAAATAAATCTTTATAAATTCTAAAATTACATATGTCTTTACCATACTTGATCTGAAGTATGAGCTGAATAAAAGAATCCTGAATCCTTTTAAACAATTTAAACAAAAAAAATATATATGTTAAATTTTTTGCCTGTTTTTCTTTTACGCTTAAAGTGCAATGTGATCTTAACATGTTTCTTGCAAGATTCACTCTTTAATCATATAGGTCATGTGATAAATACCATTTTCTATTGATTCCAGTCGCCCCAAACACTTGATTGGACAAAGAAAGAATTGTGGATATTCAGGTTAAACATTAAAACTCTTTAAAGAAAGTATGCTAAATACTTCTCATGTTTTGTCTTCAGAGCAGGTAAAAACCATATAACTCTGGGCTGTTATAGCACATGGTCATTGCTCTCATATGCGAGAGCTGCATGAGAGAGCGCTTGTTTATTTGGTCTTATCCAACGAGTCAGCTGACCTCCATATGACACAAACCTATCAACTGAACACCCCTGACCAAACGTTAACTGTTAGCCCTAGATTTAAATAATTGATTAATTTCACTTCTCAGAACAAACACTGGAGATATGTTGATGATTGCATCTGCTTGCTTCTATTCATAATGAGTGGCTTTCAGCACTGTTACATAGAGTACAGAAGTTATTTTGTACCTTAGTAAGAAAAACATCCAAACACCATTGTGTAATGTTTATTTATATTGTGTTTCATGCTGGGTTGACTGTGGTGATTATAGTCGTACTGGTTCACAGTGGCACACACTTTTGGTGGTTAGTGTATATCCATTATAGGGCTTTCCGGTCCATTAACGTGTGCTTCACACAATAGTGTCGATGCATCTGATAGTGTTTGCATTTATTTTAGTGTGTGTATATACACTCGCTCACATATCCTGGTATGCTTTAGCTTGTGTTCCTGCAGTCATATCTTTGTGTTTCACAGTAAGTAGGTCAACGTTATCTAGCAGCAGGTGCAGTAGTACCATTTGACAGTTAGAAAAATGCCTGTTTTTTAAGTAAGTGACAGTATTTAAATATCAGTCATTAAAAATTTCAAGCTACACCACGAACAATAAATCACAAGTGTTAGTCCTGTCACATTAACTGTATTTGCTGTCTTAATAAAAGTCTGAAGCATATGCTGCACTTACATCAGGTTGATTAAGTCGTGCTTTATTCTCAAATAGGGCTGTCGCGATTTGTCGATTTTATTAGACTATTAGATTTTTAAAAGTCCCCGACTTCATTTTGCTCACGTCGACTAACCGGCAAAATACCTTAAGTGGCTTATACTATTATATTATACTATATTATTATATATATACTTTAATATATGGCAAATATTAAAGATTAAGTGGACATTTGAATGAAATGGTGCTTGGTCAATATTAAACAAGTATTAGATCGCACAGCAATGTGTAAAAATAATCATCAGGCCGTTGGCGCCCTCTGCAGGCCTTTGTTGTAATGCGTAATGTACATTAGCTCTGTTGTTTATCATACATTATGTATTTTAACAATTTTGTTCAATAAAACCATATGATTTCTTTGAAAGTTGTTGATTTTTTTGAGGGAAATTAATCGTTTAGATTAATCGATAAATTAGT